CACTGCAGGTCTGGTTGCCCCCAACTGCCCCCCCTGCAGGCCTGGTCGCCCCTCACTGCCCCCCCTGCAGGCCTGGTCGCCCCCAACTGGCCCTCCTTCCAGCCTGGTTGCCCCACGCAGCCTGCTGTTCAGTCGTTTGGTCGTCCCTCACTAACCCCCCTGCTGGCCTTGTTGCCCCACACAGCCCGCTGTTAGGTCGTTACTGTTACTGTGACAGCGTCCTGGACAATTTGCATATTCCTCTATTATTAGTATAGACTAGAGGCCCGGTGCACAATATTCATGCACGCGGGGGGTCCCTCAGCCAGGCCTCCACCCTCTCACAGTCCGGGAACCCTTGGGGGACGTCCCCCAGGGAGCGGGCCTAAGCCGGCCGTCGGACATCCTTAGCTCTGCCATGGAGGTGGGAGGGGCTCCCGCCACCATCGCTGCTCCCTCTCACAGTCCGGGAACCCTTGGGGGACGTCCCCCAGGGAGCGGGCCTAAGCCGGCCGTCGGACATCCTTAGCTCTGCCGTGGAGGTGGGAGGGGCTCCCGCCACCATCGCTGTTCTCGCCAACCATGAGCCCGGCTCCTGGCTGAGCGGGGCTCCCGCTGTGGGACCGCACTGTCCACCAGGGGGCAGCTCCTGAGTTGAGCGTCTGCCCCCTGGTGGTCAGTGCGTGTCATAGCGACCGGTCGTTCTGACTTTTGTTCGATTTGCATATTAGCCTTTTATTATATAGGATTGTATGCTATTATGAAATCAATCACTATTGTAGAGGATTCTAATAGATATATAGTGTACATAACCTACACTATATAATATATATGTGAATAGATTATAGATTATAGAGTATAGATTGCGCCTCTCCTCGCAATCCGGGTGCCCTCGGGGGATGTCGGAGAGCCGGTTTCGGCCCGATCCCGCAGGCCAGGCCGAGGGACGTCCCCCCCTCCTCCCGATTGGTACACGAATCCGTGCACTGGGCCTCTAGAAAATAAATAAATAATGTTCCCGTCCGGACGACTTACCCACCATCCAATCCATTTCTTCCACGTTGTCGCCATAGCGACCGTACTTGCTGCGACCCAAGAACTTCTCCTTGGTGATCAGCGGCGTGTGGACGTGCAGAAAAGACACAAACAGGAGAAAGGGTCCCCCCGTATTCCTAAGGGTCAAAGGGCAAACTCGGTTATCTTCGCAAAGAGAGGCGATGGGGGTGAGGGGGTGCGGACGGGTGCAGCCGCCGTGGAGAGCTGTACGGAGTTTTCTCCAAAAGAAAAAAATTAAAAATGGAACGGCCTTAGAACCCAGTGATTCCGCTTCTGGGAATATATCCCAAGAAATCAGAAACACCCACCAGAAAGGACGTATGCACCCCTCTGTTCACAGCAGCGCCATTGACAAGCGCTAAGATCTGGAAACAGCCCAAGGGCCCATCAGCAGACGAGTGGATTAAAAAACTGTGGTCGCCCTGACCGGTTTGGCTCAGTGGATAGAGCGTCGGCCTGCAGACTGAAGGGTCCCGGGTTCGATTCCCGTCAAGGGCATGTACCTGGGTTGCGGGCACATCCCCAGTAGGGAGAGTGCAGGAGGCAGCTGATCGATGTTTCTCTCTCATCATCAATGTTTCTAACTCTCTATCCCTCTCCCTTCCTCTCTGTAAAAAAA